AGTAAACATAGCATAATTCATCACTATATACAGCGTCACACGTCAGTTAACACAGCATAATTCATCACCAAATGCAGCGTTACATGTCGTTGATCACACATCACACGGCGACAGAACCAGTCCTGGCGTTAACAACCATTGTGTGCGCCCACCGACCGGACTGTGCGAGTCAATAGGACACATAATGTATCATCAAACACACCGCAGCCCAAACCTGTCGGATATCACCGACCAGACCAGCAGCCGACGCAAACACGGGGCTGTTGTCTCCGACAGGCGGTCGGGGCTCGCTCTCCCATCGCCTCACCTGTCAGTGGCCAGCGGGTGGAGCAGCAAGTAGGGTCGTGCCGCGCCGCCGCCACCGTCGGCTAGCAGCAGCGGCACGGGCTCGGCCAGCGCCGACAGCAGCGCCAGCGAGCCCTGCTTGGTGACGGCGGCCAGCAGTGCGTCACCGGCCAGCCAGCAAAGCGACGCGATCCAATAGTACCTGCCGCGGACGGGTGTTAGTAGAGGACCGGGGCAATCCGCAGGTACGCACAGCATGCTTCTTCACCGCCACGGGTGGTGGCAGTGGTGAAGGCTGTTAGGAAATGACCGGGGCAATCCGCAGGCACGCACAGCATATCTCTTCACCGTCACTGGTGGTGGCAGTGGTGGTGGTGGTGGACATGCCGCTCGTCATGGACCTTCCGCTGGAGGCATTAATGGTGTGTGTATTGATGTACGGTCATGCAGCTATAACGGAGAGAACGGAGGACATGTCGCCACTTATAATGGTACCGCTGTGACCAGTCGATGATGGCTGTGGCGATGGGTGTAACGTGACTGTATGGACCTACCGATGATGGTGGCAGCTGTGTTGAACGTACCGCTGGTGGCGATGGTGAACGCGGGTGGCACCGACGCCGTGTAGGTTTGCCACCAGCACAGTGCGGCCGGTCGGGCTGAGGTAGACCAGCTGGGTGACGTCTGAGTCCCGCTGGTTGACAGCCACCGCTAGAAGGCGGCCGGCGCGGCTGTACCTGGAAAGGGACGCGAAATCGGCGCTGACTTGTTGGCGGCGGGACAGTCTAACAAGCATCCCGCAATGGCCTGTAACTGCCAAATCGGACAGAGCTACCATCGACGGCGCAGTGATAGATCGCGAAACCTCAACAAACGCCACGGAAAATTTTGCGCTCCATTCTCCAAATACTGTTCTAGATTATTCCCCATTTAGGACATGCTGTCACGTTTCCGGCTACCCGATATCTATACGACAATCGCTTGCCGGCCGGTGCTTAATGAGAGCTGGCCAGGTGCGGGCAGGCCGAGAAGTGGCTGCTAGTGACGTCACCACACGCCGTCAAAGTCATCTCACCGAGCCAGGAGGGCGCCGCTGTGGCGGACGAGGCGGGCGCGCGGGTGGACCTGCTCCCAGGGCAGGCGCAGCACGGTCCAGCGGGCCGAGAAGCGGCTCTGGCCGTCCGTCAGCAGCCGGCCGGCCGGCTGCCAGCTCAGCGTCACCGTGCTGACCACCAGGTGCGTATCCGAGCCGAACACTAACGAACAGCAGGCCCACCGCTCCTCCTGAAGCCGACCCGCCCGAGGGCGGCGTCAGACGAGGTCCGCGGCAAACACCGCTGGCGCGCGGCAGCTGCGATACCGCCCAAGCCCAGCTCTCGCCACGGCAGCCAGACGGCAGTGTCCAGCCAGAGCCCGGCGACTCATCGCAACCACTACAACGACGGCGGTGACAAAGTAGAGAAGAGGCATCAGGAATCTTTGCGTCGTTAAATTATTTTTTGACCAGTTAAATGACGCTGTCAGTATAACGCCACAGTCCCGCAATCTGGCTGCTGTGACTGACTGGCTAAGCCCACGGAAATCGGGATCTGGAAACATAGAATATACATCTGAATCGCTGGCGATCAGACCACCGCAAGACAAGTACTGGTGAATGCAAGCGTCTGCCACGCCAACATCACGACTTATAGCGCTACCTTCACTGCGACCTCTACCGCCAACAGGGACCCGATCACCCGATCACCTGGTCACCGAAGGCAACATCGACGGTAGTCTCCTTGGCGTGCGCGGGTGGCAGTGGCACGTGGTCGGGGAGCGAGAGCAGCGACCAGCGGGGCGGCTCGCCATCCTCCCAGACAAGCAAGGGGCCACCCGTCGGCCGAACCAGCAGCGCCCGCTCGCACCCAGCATCCACAAACAGCCGCGGCACCAGCAGGCCAGCACCTGCCGCCAGGCAGATGGGCCGCATGGCTCAACTCCGTGTCTGGCATTCAGTCTCAACTAGCGTCATAATGCATGTTGGATGTTGCACGAGCATTGCTAAGCATACAAAGTGTGGCAAATGCTAAGGATGGCTTGCTGTATGTGCTACGAAGCAGACAGCCAAAGGGCAAAAACGCAAAAGTAATGCTTAGCTCATCACCAAAGTCTGTCCCAGTGGCTCAGCTGGTCAAAGCGCCTGCCCTAAAATCCACCATCTGTGGCGGCGTGAGTTCGAGTCACTTAAGGCGCTCGCCATTTATCCCTGGCAGATATGGCCTGCGGCCGGTGGTAGCGGTCGCGCTAAGTCAGTTGACGCCAGGGGGCAGGACGGAACGCGCCGGGCATTGCGGCACGTTAAACTTTTGCCACTAAATTCTGCCGTTGCCTGGAATTGTGCTACCGGATAGTAGGGGTCGGGGTTAACAAGGCAAGCACTGTTTCGCGTGAGCTCTGATCCCAGAAATCTATCCATCTAAAGGGTTCAGACCAAATAGTAGAAAAAATCAAATGCACCACAACAACAAGACTGCATAGATATTTTTCGCACCGCGCATGCTGCAAAACGACTGTTTCATAATGAAAGTCAATACAACTTGCTCCGCTAGTCGTACTGTGAACAACACTTTGCTCAGATTAGGCTTCATGCTGTGACTTTTTAATTCAAACGCGAAGAGCATGTTTCATACAAAATAAAGGAAGCATAGGCATTGCATTCACATATCTACACAATTGGATGCTAGTTGTTCATCAAGCTTGAGAATTACGTTCTAAACATTTTGTTCACATTGCGTGGGGAGGAGCCGAATCCCAAACAAATCACGAGTTATTGGTCATACATGACCCTAAATCACGCCTGATTGTGTGAGCTGATCGACATATCAGCGTATTTGTAAGCAACTTACTGTACCTTATGACAATGCCACCCGCACAAACAGATTGTGAAGCAAAACCCAGCTTGGCTTACACGTTTGTTCTGACGTGAGCGGGCTGCGCATATGTTCCGTGGATTCTGAGCGCGGCATGAAGCAGTTGAAGTCTGCAGGCAGCGGGAAACATCGCAGGGTGTTCGAGTCTCGATGCCAGGTGAATAGCCCGTCGTCAGGGCTGACACCCGCCAGGTATGCCCCGCCCGGCGAGACACACGTCCAAGAGGCGGCCCGCAGTCGCTCATAAAGGGCGCGGTAACGTATGTTGGGCCTCTTTGTACCACCTGATGGAAGCTGCAGGATGCAGGTACGTCCGCCATCCAACAGGAAGATGTTCTCTGATTCCTGCCCACAAAGAAATCAGCATCACATGCACCACATCACAAGGAAACAGTTACATCAGAATGATATTCCACAACTAATCAGGTCTTTGGTGTTTGGTGGTCACAGTTTTATGGTAGCACTGTACATGGTCCAGACTAGCTGCTCAAATCACCATGCAGATAATGTGAACATTTTGATACTTTCTGCTATTTAACTTTAAAATTTTGCAATATGTTGATATATGCTGCAAATAAATGAATCATAGGTACTCACAGACCCCACCCATTGCAGGGAAGCAAAGGGCTTCTTGTGCTTAATGGCTGCCTCTGAGAGAAGCTCAACAACCATATGCATGTTGTAACTGAACTGAAAAAATGCAGATGTTAATTGTTGTTTTCTTTCACATAGAAAAGTATGTTAAGCAGACAAGCATAGTGCACAAAATCCACATGCACTCAAGACTGCAACAATGCATGTCTTCCTGAACATACCTAATGATAGGGCAACATTGTGACAATTTTAGTGCATGCTCATCATAAACAAGTGCCTTGCAGGTTCAGACCACTGTCATCATCAATCTCAGTGCATACAGAGCTAATATTTCACAGAATAATTGTGTTGCAAAGAAGATGTAAAGCAAGAATACACAAGTTTTCAACCAAATTAGTTTTTAAAAAAATGAAAACAGCCCAAATTTGGTGTCCATGCGTCACACATTCAGTGCAACAATTTAACATAGACTTCCAGTGCAGGGGATGGATTTTTTTGTACAATGGTATGCCTAAATGTGCCTCACTAACCTCCATACTCATCACACAGAAAATGTCTGAGCAGAGTGTGGTTGAAAGGCATTTATCATCATACCTTTCACACCTCTACCAGCATCGTTTTGCCACATCATCATCATCTTTTGTATAACATCACGGAATGGATGATACGCCAACCATTGAACATGGGTGGATCAGGGCCCATTTTCAAGAAAATATGCATGCAATATTCCTGTATACTTCAGCAAAAAAGCCAGCACTTTCGAACAGAATATACCAATGTCAGCTTCTTGAAACATTCACAATGGATCGATTTAGTCACGTAGCTTAACAAACAATAAACCAAACTATATACGCCGCGACGCTCTTGACACCAATTTCGAAAACAAACCACATCCGCGGTATTTGTTGTTCAATCACGTTTGGTTCGTTGTCATGGCAACAGCATGGGGCTCGCATAAAATTTAAAAAAGCTAAGAGTATTAAAACCGCTTAAGCAACATATTATCAAAAATTAATACCATTTCAATTTTTTAAATTTATTTTTACGAGTCATATGCCATAATTTTGTCGTTTCTTTTACAAAAATGAGATTTCTGCAACAACACTAATATCAACAATACATCTTGCAGGGCGTCAGCAGGCTTGACATTAATTGCGTTGTTGAAGCAAAGCTTGCGCATTTTACTCAGAACTAATTTTGTCAGCGGATATATTTGTGTGCTGTTGGTCCGTGGGGGTTTCTCATTTGATGGCAGCTGTCATGAGCCATGGTCGATAAACGATGATAGATTTCATGCTTTTTTGCTTTCTCTTTTGGTAACCTCTTCGAGGTAGGCTTTGTTGAAATGTATGAACCGCCCTCCTCGTCCAGCTGATACTGTAGGAAGGATTGCCAATTGTATCGTTGTAGCTGCATTTTCTCCCTTGCCGTTTCTCAGATGTGTTATCTCTCATAATCTATTAAGAATCATTGATCTGATGGGGCTAATGCACAGCTGCTTTTACCAAGGGCATGTCAGTTCTTGTTAATTGTTTCAAACAGGCCTCACATTGCATGCCTTCTTGCAGGCTATAATTAAATGTAACAGATGGCCTTAAATGGCTGCTTATCTTCAGAATTGCAAGCAGCTAAACATAAGCCAGAGCTAACAAGTGCTTAACACCCCTTAAACATTCACCTGTGTAAGGTAGAGTGACTATCTTAACCCTTACCCTGATGGGGAAGATAGTGTGACCCCCTTAAGGTTTTTTGTTGATGCCTTTCTGGTATGTTGTGCAATGGCACCCAGTTTTTCAGAAGCTGATGGGGCATAATTTTTGTGTGTTATCACATCTGAAAGCATTGCTAGCATTTCTAATTTTGGAGCAGGGGTGGTGTCTGTGCAATGTTGGATGGTGATGTACAGCCCGCACAGGTGGCCACCAGCATGGAACATGTGAGAAGGGTGACATTGTCACAATAACAGAGCCATACATCAAAAGTTATGGTCAAAACACATAAAAGTATATTCCAACATATTAAAAGCTGACCAAGAAACACACTTGTCCAGGTTTTGGTTCAATGTGGGGCTTATTCTCATGCATATGAAGATGCAAAGCTGAAAAATATCATTTGGAGAAAATTTGATTTTTTTGCATGATGTGATAGAGCCAATTAGTTATGTAGCAACATAAGACTTATCACCAATTGTGAGATCTTGTTGAGACCAATCCACAGTTGTTTTCTGCTAAGTTTGTGAGGCTCTAGGTTTAAAGTGTTTTGGTTGGGAAACAGCAGGAGATCACATCAACTTACTCTCTATCAGCCCATGTTATTAAAAAATAGCAAATCAGGATGAGGGTTATGTTTTGTAAATATTAACAAATTGGATGCATAAAATTGACTCAAGTAGGCTGTCAAGGCACTGTACCTTTATTATAAATGATCCACAATAATAAACCATGGTGAAAATCTCAACCTGAATAGGGTAAGGTGAGGCATCCTTAGTGTTTTTTTAAAAAAATATAGTTCTATAACATCTTTATTTGTTTCAGGCTGTGTGAAGTATGGCAGGGTTGTTACTTTGTTGTGTAATTTCTTTCTTGGTGAGCGATACAGTTGTCTTGGGGGCATCTCCAGGAATCTCAAACAACAAGGTCATCTTGGAAAATGTGAAGGCAAGACAGGTTTACCTGATCAACACTTAGTGTTTTGTGATTTTTCAGTTATGTTGATTTTTATGCATGATGGTGCATTTTTTGGATTTTTTGCAGTTATGTGTATGTATATTATAAATATTTGGTGTGCCTACAAAACATTTCTAATCATTTTTATGAGATTAATTATTTATGAATATTAGCAATATTGAAAATGTGCAGCCAGCTGCATGTTTACCCTTGCCATAGTACACATTCATCCAGCCCCCCCCCCCCCCCCACACACACACACATGCACACACTGTTCAGTATGGTGCACACTGCATCCAAGGTGAGTTGATTAACATACTGAAAATGATTCCTAGCATCACCCCCTGTGCATTGCTGCTTTCAATGTTTGCATGATCAAATCTGTATTTATGTTTCATTGAGGATCTGGAAGCATGGTGGATGAGAATATAATTGCATCCAGTTTTTTGGAGACAAATAGTTGATATATTTATATCATTCAAGCTATAATTAGCCAGATTTGTTGGATATGGAATGCATTCATAGCCAAAGTCTGCCTTTTTGTGAAGACAGAATGTTTCAGTCCAGGCTGTAATGTGTTACTGATGTGAATCATTCAGATGGAAGCTCTGCTATGCTTTGTGTCATATGGAGATACACAAAGTGCATCTGCTAACCCTTGAATGGGACAGGAGCTCAGTATTATGTACATTTGTGTTGCAGGAGGATGTGAGCAGACAAGAAACTGAGTCATTTACATATATTTCACCTGCCAGACCACAAGGGGCACACTTGGCAGATAATTTTGATGACCCATGGTTGTTTGAGAGAACTTGGGTTAGCTCTGAGGCAAAGAAGAATGAACATGGAGCAGAAAGTATTGAGTACAGTGGTATGTTGTTTTTGTTTTTGTTTTTCTTTTTATTCTGCAGCATATTGATAAGCTGGCATTAGCAGGACTGACTTATCACTAAGCATCTGATGTGCCATCAGTTCTCTCAGCTGAGGCCTAGCTGTGCTTCCAGGTAGACCCGAGACAGAGTTTGATACATTAGCAAGATTCTCTTCAGCAGCCAGCTGCACAACAGCACCAGTTCTCTCCACATTCGTGTGGGCGGACACCATTAAGCAGCATATCCACAACCGCCCTCATGATCTGTCTGTGTGTCGGCCGTCGCGGGCCACGGGTATCAAACGCCCTCTGCGTGTGTTGTGCTTCTCCATGTTGCGTACGGTGACGTGTCAGTGACGCCGGCACCTGACCCAGGTCGGTGGGCGCTGGAGCCGGCGCGGGACCGGGCCCAGTCAGCGGATCTCGGCCTGGAGCTGGGCTCGCCGGCGCACCAGGCCGCCGTCAGCCGCCGGCTGGAGGCGCCGCTCCGGCTAGCCGGCCGGCCGCTGGTGCTGCAGTACGAGGTTAGCGCCGCCGCTGGCGTCGTCTTCACGATGAGCTTCTGGCATGCGTTGGTCGTATTGGAAGATGTCTGAGAGTGCATCTGTTTGTGGTGCCAGCTGTTTGTACACGAACACTAGGGATTGCCGGCCGCCTCGATCGATACGTCCGCCGCTGCGGGGCGGGCGTCTGTGCCCTGCTGATGCCTTTGGCGCCGACTCCCTCGGCTCGTGGGGAGGACCGACGTCTCGCCGGTCAGCCGCCGACCGAATCGTTCCCGGCCCGCTGCGGGCCGCCGTGAGCCGGCGAGTGCTGACCGCCAGGTGGCGCGCCTGAGGCCGCGCGAGGCCGGACGCTGCGCCAGCGTCGCGCTGCGGCTGCTGTCTGACACGCCGGAGCTGCGCCTGGACCGCGTCACCGGCCGCACGCCCTTCTCACTGGCGTTGAGCGTGGAGCAGTGCGACGACCAAGCCGAGGTGAGGTAATCGCGCCCAGTTGACGTCCGAGTCGCACCAGGTAGCGACCCAACAGATTAAAGCGATGGTATAAACTCTGGGGGTATTCCAACCAGTCCACCTCCCGGTCTGTGTTTGGAATGCCCGTGGCATGAGGGTATTGGCACAAGGACACGATGATGGTAATTTTCACACCCTTGACTTGAGTGTCATGCGAGGCAGGGTTGTAGGCGAAGAACATGGAGCTCCCGTCTAAAATTTTTGAGTTTTTTTTCATGAATTTGAGCGTGTGCGTGTGCGTGTGCGTGTGCGTGTGCGTGTGCGTGTGCGTGTGCGTGTGTGTGTGTGCGTGTGTGGTGTGTGTGTGCGTGCGCGCGTGTGTGTGTGTGCACTGCTTTCGCCAGTTCGTATGTAAAACGCCTGCATAAGCTGCCAACGGAACATTCCAAAGTCAGTGCGTTTTGACTCATGCCTACACTCGGCCAAGTAGCATTTATATCGCGCCAATGCCAGACCGCGCGGACTGCTCTTTGTGAGGCCCGTGTGCGGTGCCTCTGCGCCGGCCGCGTGGCCGCCGGCCGGTCCACCGATGCCGTCTCACACTCGTCCTCCCCCAGCTGCGGGTCGTGCTGCGCCGCCCGGATCGGGACGGACCGGACCACGTTCACGCCAGGCCGGCGGCCAGCGTCCGGCTGCCGGGAGCGCAGGGCGACGCCGCGCACCAGTTCCGGCTGCTGATTCGGCCCGACCACACGTTCCATATGGCGCTGGACGACCGGGTGGGTGGGGCTCGCCGCGACTGAGGGCTGGGGGCCGGCGTTCGTCAGCGAGAGGTCGGACGATCGGCTTCAGGCGCGTAAAAAGTGGCGGCGCTAGTTGCAGTGTTACCACACGCGTTGTCAGGGAGTCGCTGCGTTTACGTAGATGATGTGGGCAGCTTTCAAATCCTAATGAAGAACGCCACATGCCGATCTGTCTTACCATATGCGACCGAGGCGGACCGGGAGTGAATCTGCTCATGAGGCGCGTGGTGCCCAAATAATGTGCTTCGATGTTTGCGCATGCTCGTCTTTTAAGCATTCTGGTGGCCTGCTTTGGCTCATGCAAAGAAGTGTTGCAGTTCATCCCCGTAGATCTCCAACAAATTGTGCTATAAAGCATTTGCCACATCGGCGGTGCATTGCGACGATTTGTTTCACGAACAGTCTTGACAAACCTGTGTGAATTTCGTTCAACGTCTGTTCAACGTGTGTGTCTTTATACTTTCCACGATACAAAACTTAAAAATTAGTGCTGATGTAGGTATGCGCCCAGATTTCGAGCTTCATTCCCTGGCTTTGTGCCGCGAGCTCTGCCAAGTCGGATGGTCATATCGCACGTCTGTGTGGGTGCGCGCGTGCCGCGTGTCTGTGTCCGCGCCGCCGATCACTGGAGCCATTGCTGGCGTCGGCAGGTGGTGAGGAGCGGTTCGCTGCTGGAGGGAGCGGCCTCGCCGTCCGGCGGTGTGGAGCCGACAGCTTCCAGCGCCGCCCCGACATTAGCCGAGCTGGCCGACGCGGTCAGTGGCGTGGCCTCGCACGAGGCCGGCCGACAGGGCGACCTGCTGGCGTCCAGCTGCCTGCTGCGCGGCTGCGATCCTGGCGGTTCCGGTGTGCTATGGGATAGGCGGGTCTGATGGCCGTTGTTTGTGTTCCCTCAGTGTGCGTAAATGTTATTTGGCGGCTGATTCTCCGTCATCAGAAGGGATATGTGATGCCCATTTCGTTCTGTCCTGAGGTAAACACGGCAACTAATTGCCGGTGTCCATGCCAGGGTGCGGTCAGTTTCGAAGTGCGCTCGGTGGCGGAGGGCCTCCGCCTGAACAACGTGCTGGTAGCCAGCTCACTGGAGGGCGCTCGCCAGTACAAGGCCGGCGCTGTCCAGCCGAAACCGGCGGCAGCGTCGGATGGAGGAGGTGAGGGGCCGGCACGGGCGCCACCGACTGTCCTCCGGGCGGGCGGAATGAACGCCCGTCCCGGGCGGGCGGGATGGACGCCTGTCCCGGGCGGGCGGGATGGACGCCTGTCCCGGGCGGGCGGAATGAACGCCCGTCCCGGGCGGGCGGGATGGACGCCTGTCCCAGGCGGGCGGAATGGACGCCTGTCCCGGGCGGGCGGAATGAACGCCCGTCCCGGGCGGGCGGGATGGACGCCCGTCCCGGGCGGGCGGGATGGACGCCTGTGCCAGGCGCGCGGGCGGGGTGACGCGCTGAGAGCCGCAGCAGCGGAACAAGCGCGGGCTGCCCCCGGAGCCGAGACCTTCTGGCAATTGCTGGCAGCTAGGAGTGGCAGTGGATTTAACTGGCTGGATGGGTGTGACCTGTATGTTTACCTCAGACCTCGATGGTCATAGCAGTGCTATCACCTCGGGTGTCATATTTGAAGTGTTATGACGAGACTCAGCACAACCTATTCGATAGCATGATACTTACCAGGTGGACCCGGCTGGTATGGCCGTTACACCGACTGCTGAGGGCGGTGACCATCTCCAAATATCCGGTTGAGTGGCGATGACGTCGTTCCTGTGCCTGCCGCAGCTCAGCACTCTGGACTGGTTCATGGTGTACAGCAGCGAGCGGCCTTGGCTGTACGGTGTGTACGTGCTGGTCGTGGGCGTGCCGGCGTGCCTCATCATCTCCTGCTTTCTACCAGACGATGTGAGCGTCCGCGCGCCGCTGTGCCGCGCGCTGCTCCGTTGTCTGCTGCCTCGACCGACCGCTGGTGCCGGCCGGCGTGCAAGCGCTTCAGGCGCAGTCTGTTGTATTGCATACCAGGCTCCACCGTATCGGATTACGGACTCGTGCGCTGTCACGTCTGTCATCCGCTCGGGTGTTAATGTCGGGATTAATCGACTAACAAGATGGGTTGCGCCGTGGCCTGTCACCCAAGCAGGCGGCGCTCTGCACCTGCGTGTCATCCAAATGGTGTACAGAGGGGTTTTTGTCGTAGCATTACACGGTCGACGGCGATGAGCTCGCGCAAAAGTGCACGTGTTTTAAGGTCAGTCTTTGTTCTCTTTTGGTGACGTGCGGAGCTTGCCTCGAAAATCCCGGCCATGTTTGTCCACTGCGCCACAAAGTGGTCATGAACAGGTGCGGTGCGGGCGCTGTCGCCGCACGGCTGTCGTTCTGTGTGACGCTGCACGGTGCCGGCTGCCGGGCGGTGATCAGGCCGCCGCCCCCCGCAGCTGGACCAGGCGGCGCGCCACAAGAAGACGGACGACATGCGGCCTTACGACCGGCTGGCGGGCGGCGGGCGGCGCTCCTGGCTGTTCTCGGCCGGCTCGGAGGGCGCCCGGTCCTCTGCTGGAACGCAGGTGCCGAACGCTGACCCCTCCCCCCCCCCCCCCCCCCCCCCGCTACCGCCGCCGCTCCGAGCCGTCGTCGCCGCCGCCGGCCGGATGCTGTGTCAGAATAGGCGCTTAGTGCGTTATCGAAGTCAATCACGTGCTTTGTGAAATTACTCACGTTACCTGTAATGACTCTACTTGACCTGCCTTTGTGGACGCCATTGATGTCTCCTTAACTACAAACTGATGACGACTCACCTCATTACTTGAAATTATATCTAAATTATTTGAGCAATGTCCTGCGAATTTTGGGCTCAACCGCAGCTACTGTTTGCAGGTAAATAGGTAGCCGCGTCTCAACAGTGCGCTGGATCCCAACCAGCACGGGAACCGGCTCCGCCCTGGAGGCCTGTGCTATTCCCGAGCGTCGTTTGCGGACCCAGCGCGTGTGTCCCGTCCCCCCTGCGGTCGTGGCTCGGTCTCTGACGAGTCGGCGTGCGTCGCCAGGGCGTGCGGGCGTCGACGGCGACATCTCCACGGTCGGGAGCGGGGCTGCCGAGGTCGGGCTCTCCCCGTCGGAGAAGAGCTCGTCTTGAGTGAGGTCCTCACGCCAGTGGGCCCGGCCTGGGTCGACCTGCGCCAAACCGGACCGCACCGGACCGGACCGGGCCGGGTCGCCGTCGGTTTGTCAACAGTTTGTGGAGCTCCCGGCCGCTACCCTTGCCTGTCAAGCACTAGTCATTGGTTCATGAATCTTAAGTGGTCACTAGCCGCGAGTTGTACGTTTTCTCTCCCTGGCTATCGACCGGCGATTGGCGAGCTGAGGTACGTCGGGTGATGGCCAGCTGTTGGTGGGTCAGCTGAACGCCAGCAGCACATTAGTTCCGAGCTGTTCACCTGCGCACCGCTGATCTTTGTCTCACGGTTGGACGCGCTGTCCGGCATCCGCTGGTCACTGGCAGTCGGACCGCCGGTCCCTGCACTCTGAACTGCCGGTAATTTCCATGTACGATGGTGGCTACCAGCTAGCTTATTCGTCAGCACTCACTTGCAAGTCTGGGTCAAGGGGTACCGGCCATGCCTCGCGAGAACTCCTTGACGGCCCGATCTCATTCACACGTGATGGCGTGACCAGCGCACATTCCGATGTCCGAGTTCTGGACGGGACAGCCTTGCGGAGGCTTGCAGCTCAAGCCGTCAAGCAAGCGTTGTACTTGAGCGTGTCTGTGAGGCATGTAGAACTCGGCGTGTGTTAGCCTTGTTAGTCATGTAAGTCGATTGTTCATGGTGTCTGCAGCCAGCGGGCTGTAGATGACGGATGATCACGTTAAATACGTTTCACTCTACGTCCACAATACTACGCACGCGGCGAGACCATGCCGGCACGAACGCCAGCAGAGGGCCACGGATAACCGACCGCGGCGGCCAGCCGTTGCAGATCGGTGATGTGGGACGCGCTGCGCCCGGTGGGTCCGCGCGGGTCGGCCTCTAGCGCCTGCGGGGCCGGAGCGGGGCCTCCCGCCTCACCCGGGCACGTCCGGGGCCCTGTCGCGCTCCGGCGGCTCTTGGGCATCCGACCGAAAGTGACGCGCGTGATGAGAACCCGCACAGTGCTGAGAACGAGCGCCTGCACGGCGTGCGCGGAGAGATCGCGCCGCTGCGGCCGCCGAGTCTGCCGGGTCTGCCGTGACAGGCACTGCAGACCGCCTGCCGCCGACCGTCGCGGCACTGATGCGGACGCCGCGCAGGCGTGTGACTGTCCGTCAAGTGTGCTGCTCGACACCAGCCTTACCAGCGCACCGGTGTGCAGCTCTTCGTGCGTCGTATTCTCTTCTGGCTGATGTCTGTTTTCCATTAAGCGTGCAGATTTATCATTAGAGCACTCTCCTCAATACAAGGTCTCTGCAAACGTCCTGCGTCTAGTTGGTGGTGCAGAATGGTACGGAAGCTACCACCGAGCCGGCCAGCCAGAGCGCAGGGACACGTGTCGAACTGGCCAAAATTTTTATTTCGATGCTGCAATTCAAAATAGACGACAATAACCACCCTGGCGACATGTTCCCAAAGTCCACCGAGGTATTTCACTCTTCGAGGCTAATCTTGGATCGGTTGTCAATTGGTGCCAGATAAATGTGGCGCCACAAAACCGTTCCAGGACGCAATCAGACGGTGAAGCAATGAGGTCTTTTTTACTAATCAGTGGAACTTTGTTATTTAGAGCAGTCATTTGAACTTAAACATATGCAGATAGTGGCAAGTGAGATTTCCCATCATATCTCAAGGCTGCCTAGGTACCTTCAGACGTGGAACAATTCCTATAGCGACTTCCACTTAACAACCAGTAAACCTATTGACAGTCTCATGCTCTGAACCTATAAGACCAATTGTCCCGAAACGTCCACCATTCGAAGCCGCCCTGCGGTCAACCTGCGTCAGAAGGCCCACGCAAGACAGCAACCGTTCGGCGCGCTGCTGTGCGTCACAGACCAGCTGGACTGAGACGAGTAACATCACTGGCATCGCTGCGTATCTGAAATGGGCGGAACGGCCTACTCGTGTTTGTTTAGGTATGCCGTGCTCGGGATCTGTATGGCCACGTAGTGACTGAGCTTCTCCGTCCGTGGAGTTCCGTTCAGTTTGTGGACGAGGAGATCGGTGTCCATATTACATAGCATGAAGTCAGCTTTGGATTCACAGTCACAGGACCGGTCATGACCTCCAACCCCACTGCGCAGCGAATACCAGCCAAAGCAGTCACGCTCCCGTTCGGGATACTGAAAACTTATTTGCAATCTGCGAAACGCATGGGCATATAACCGGCATGACATGTAACCTGCGAAACGCATGGACATATAACCGGCGGGACATGTAATCTGCGAAACGCATGGAGAGTAACCGCACTCGCACTTGCAGCTGAGTACATTCGTAACGAAGATTCATGTATATTCTGCACGGAAGCACAAGTGTGGATTGTAGGCTGTGGCACACGCTCATTTCCGCGAACAACCCTACTTCACTCATTTCGACCGAAATAGCCGCATGCCCATAAACAATGAGATGGTCAGGAACCACTCGCAGGATTTGGACACAACTGACGTCAGTTATGTCCATCACTGGTGCCCAAGATTTCACGCCCGGCGCATCAGCCTATGAACGGGCGGCCGTTCAGAGCGGTCCAAGGCAGGCTTGGCAGTATTGGCGATAAATCCCCATACTGGCAGCAGCGGAGGCAGGGCACAGGGGGGACGTGCCTCCCCCCTTGGGCTCTGAGGGGTCATTCGAGCCCCTGGAGACCTACGATTAAGGTCCTGCTTTGAGGGCCCAAAAGGTCGTCCGGAGATTGTATTCAAGAGTTCTAGCCAGTAGGGCCGGACACTCAAACACCAAAAAGAGAGCCCTGCGTGCTGATCAGGTGCCCCTGAGTCGAGGAGGGTCATATGTCGGTCAGACAACACCAGTAACGCACAGTTGGCTCCCAGGAGGCATGGGCCTGGGGAACCATTTCCCGAGCAGGGACAAAACCGGAGCCAACGATTTACATTGGTCGATACCCCAAAGCGGCTAACGGGGACACCGCTAGCAAGGAAAGGCCAGAAGTTGGCAAGAGACGGTGTTCGAGGAGCCTTGAAGAGCCTAGAGGGTCCACCGGGTCCGACGATCAGAGGCTCCATTGTAGGGTCTTAGGGAACGAAGGGCTGATTAGGGACACCCAGGAACCCGTTTGCGCCGGTCAGGGATACCCTGAGTCGATATGGGTCTACATGTCGGTCAGGCACCAACAGTGCTGCACAGTCCGCTCTGTATCGGTAGCTCAGCTTTGTAGCTTAGCTTTGTAGCTCAGCTTTGTAGCTGATTGGGAAAGGGCCCTCAGGCACATTCCCAAAGGCCTGGGTAGGGGCAGTTATTTACAGTTGTCGGGCCCTGCATCTGGCGGTGGTCCACAACGCCTAGCAGAGGGTGCTGTGTTCGCAAGAAGCCCCGAGCCAGCCAAGGGCAGTGTTTAATGAGGCCCGAAGAGGGGTCCGAGCGGCTCAACGGAACCGACTATCAAAGGCCCGGTTGGGGGGCATGAGGACCCGAAGAACGGTCTACAGGTCAAGAAACACGATCCTACCGGTCGTGACCTACAATATCGAAGAATTCTTCGTTCACCGTTTGAGGACCCTGAGACAATGCGGGTGTCTAAGTCGGCCAGGGACCACAAACACCGAACAGTTGGCTCCCCGTCAGATTCAGCCATGGGGGCCCATCTCCCAAACAGGAGCAAGACTGGGGGTCACGATTTGCATTGGTCTGGACCTCTGACGCAGTGGTTAAGGCGCTTACGCCGGTCAGGGGCCCACAGTGCATAGCAGGGGGCCATGCCTCGGCTAGTGTCCCCTAGTCGATCGCAGACTTTGCTTGATGAGGTCCCGAAGAGGGGCCGGAGGGTCCTCGGGATGATCATAGACCCGACTGGACTCGGGGGTCCGCCCCCTCCCATAGTGCCATGACCTGAAATGTCTGTCAGAGGGCTTCCATTAGGGCCATCTTATTAGGGGTATCTATCCCTATCATATATTGTCTCGGCACGGAGCCAAACAGCCGGCTCCATGTCCGCCTGAGCCCGTGAGACCCATTTCCCAAACAGGAACGAGGCCGAGGCCAGCGATTTTGAGTGGTCTGGATCCCCGACACAATGGGGGGGGGGGGGGGGGGGGAGAGAATATACGTAGGTCAGGGGCCACAGTGCTAAACAGGGGTTATGGGGCGGCCAGTGGCCTGAGTTGGCCGAGATGTTGGAGGGGGCCCGAAGAGGAGGTCGTTCAGGGGCTCACAATTGGGGCTCCTTTATCGTTCAGGTCATGGGTGTCGATTTCTCAAAATGGTTGGGGGTGGGGCGGAGTCATGGAAGTCGCAATGTGGGGACAGATGCGAAAAGCTTCGTGGATTTGGCTTACTTATGTTTTGACTATATATACACACACACACACACACACACACACACACACATATATATATATATATATATATATATATATATATATATATATATATATATATATATATATATATTAACCTACACTGGCTACATGTTTTTTTAAGGCTCATGTGCGTGGTCATAGCAATTATGAGAGTGGGAGCCTGGCAGTTTACACCCGCTTTTTGTAAACGCACGCGCATTGTGAGGCTTAAGCGTTACATTTGCATCTTTCTCTAACCTATTGAAAAAGTGAAACGTGCGCATAATTTTCCATGATGTGCTTCGGTGGTCTGTGGTCGTGCTACAATAGGACAAGAATAGAACAATACAAGATCAGAAGGTCCACAGCATATGTCGGTGTCACAATCTGCTTACCCGTAGGTTCTCGAGGCAAAAATTTAATCGATGAAATATAGGTATTTCAGCTCATGTAAAAACAAAACATGAGCGTTCCTCTGTGCATCATCTCAGAGTACGGTTAGCACCCTTTCCCTAAATGCGCTCGGGCAGATGGGCTCCCTCTAAGAATACCTTCTCCCTGCTCGCTGAAAAAAGCACACACAAACGAGCCTGTCGTACTACTGCGGGGCACTTTTCTAAGCTGCTGTGCCTCTAAAGGGAAAGCGAGCCCCACCCGTTTCAGTTCACACGCGTGGCAAATGCAACGTTCGTCAGCATATTGCCATGTGAAGCACAAGCTGATTTTAGCCACGTCGCTATTTGAGCTGGTTCTTCAGTGGCGGTGCGGTTATACTTTGTACGCATACTTGACGCTAAATGAGCTCGCCTACGCAGGGGCGCAGCCAGCCTTGGCAATGTAAGGGAGAGACACATGGCTGACTAGGGGCCCTGCGTGTGAAAGCCACCACCCCCCCCCCCCAAAAAAAATCATTGGATTGGCCCACTTGAATTTGAGGGGTACGATCGCCTTCGTTGTAGTTCAACATTTGTCTTGAACTGAAACATAAACCAAAAGCCATTTGTAAACCAGAGGATACATTTGTGCATGTATTTGAAATCAATAAACTATCTGAGCCAGGTGTTAGATAATTGCATAGAAAAATCTGGCAGCGCTATTCATTATGCAATTATTCAGTAGATATTTTATAGCTTAGAGCATTCTCGGGCCGCGCCGAAATTAGTTAAGGGATGTACAGACCTTTGTGAACGCATGTGATAGCGAACGTAGATTGCAGATCGAAATGAGATCATACATTTGCAGTGACATGGCCAGCTGCACGTTTGTGCATTTGTGTGTTTGTACGTTTGTACGTTTGTACCGTACCATACGTTTGTGTGTTTGTGTGCACAGCCTACGTACATTTATACGTTTAGAAAGTATTCCAGACGCATGTTTCACCTGTGCATCTTTTAGATTTCCAAGTGGAACGGGACGGATTAACACTGCACCGCGCACCGGTGCTGGATCCTGCTGGTGGGACTAGACAAGTAAAGGTATATATATATATATATATATATATATATATATATATATATATATATATATAGGTCACAAACTAAGGTATCATGTCCAGCTGAGTGCAGCTGCCTGGGCTCGTCATACTTTTAAGGTCTCACGGTCGTACCTTGTTTCCCTACGCATCTTCTGTTCTTCCTGCAGGCTGCATGTTTTGAATTTCAAGATGAACATACCTTGCTGACTCTGACGTAGTTTTATGCTCTTGTTCTAAGTGTTTTGGCATTATTCAGCGACGTTTCAGGTTCTACGGACCGCATCAAGTAGCATGATTTTGTTCCGGTGTCCTATCGGAAATTGAAAACCACTCACATCCACTCACATGCATTAGTACCTCAATAGACGCAACAAATTTAGCAGCCACCTACGTCCGGAAAAACCTTTCAAATGTGCCGACATTCGCATTGACGCGAATATTTGATGGAGCGGTTGTACCTACAAAAACCTGACGACCGACACCAGCCGGCTAAATCGAGTGCGGAACTCGTCCGACCGACACCAGCTGGCTAAACCGATAGCGAAACTCGTCCGACAATTATCACCAACACA